GCCGAGCCGTGCCGCTCGCCCTTGGAGTCCTTCTTGAAGGCGTAGGACACGGTGATGGGCCGGTTGCACAGGTACTGCCCGTTCATGGCCTCGATGGCCGCGTCCGACGCGTCGAAGCTGGCGAAGTTGATGAAGGCGTAGCCCTTGGAGTTGCCCGTGTCGGGGTCCCGCATGATCTTGGGGGTCTGCAGGATGACCCCGAAGGCGCTGAAGGTGTCGTAGAGCAGCTTCTCGTCGATCTCGGGGTCCAGGTTGCCGATGAAGATGTTGGCGCCCACGTCCAGGTTCTTGTTGTGGGCGGAGGCCTTGTTCACTCGGATGGGTTTCCCGTAGAGCTTGATCATGTTCATGATCTTGATGGCGTAGTCGGCATCCTCCTCGCTCAGGAACTCCACGAACCCGTACCCTGGGGGACCCCAAAGGGCTCAGGGGCATCCCAGGGGGCTCGAGGGGAACCCAATGGATCTTCAGGAGAGGGGAGACCCCCCCACTTGATCTAAACCTTAGTTGACTCAAAACCCCATTTAATTATGGACTGGAACCCCCTCTATTTGATTTTAACCCCACCTGATACTTCATTTCATCCCCACATGATCTAAACCCTGATTGACTCAAAAACCCATTTAATTATGGATTGGACCCCCCTTGATTTGATTTTGGCCCCACCTGACATTTCATTCAATCCCTACTTGATCTAAACCCTGGGCCCCAAACACCCCCTGTGGGATGGAAGATGATCCCCCCCTCTCCCCACCCCAATTCCACCCCGGCTCTGCCCCCTGCTCAGGTCTGGGGGTCCCAGCCCCTCACCCTGCTGCTGGACACCCCACCCGTGTCCTCCCGACCCCCGTTCTGCCCCTCCTTGGGATTTGCGGGGTCCCCGTTGGGATTTGGGGAGTCTCTCACCCTGGTGCTGGCCCGTGACCCGGTCCTTGGGCATGTGCGTGTTGACCACGGGCCCGGCCTGCAGGAAGAGCTCCCAGAGCAGGGGCTCGCTGACCTTCTCGTCCAGGCCCCCCACGTACACCGTGGCATCTGTGGGAATGCAGGTCAGAGCCGGAAAACCTCGGGATAACGGGGGGCTCGGGGCTGGGATCCCTCAAGTCAAAGCCCCTCCAAACCTTCACCAGATCCCCCCTAATCCGCCCTTACCCA